CTGTCAAAAGTGCAGAATTTACACATCACATCTTCTTCCCTACAATAATTCTTAAAAGGCTGAAATGGTAGAAAACTGGTTAATTTTATAAATTCTTAACACAGAGGTACTTAATTCATGGAACCACTATGCAAAGAGAAACTACTTCTAATACTGAAAGCTTCATTTTAAAAAATGTCAAGTTTAAAGAGTTGATTTTGTTTGTTTGTTTTGTTTTTTGTTTTGTCCTTAAGAAACATGTGTATGACTTCCAAGTACATGGCAGCCATGAGACAAAATCCCTAGGTTCCAAGTCAGGGGAACCTACCTTATAATGAGGCTTTTATGAGCACTACAGTAATTATACCTCTTGGACAGATAGAAACAAATCAATACCAAATTTCACAGCAGAGAGCAAAACTCCAATGTATCTTCAAAGGCCTGGAAAGGCAGTTATTTCTATTTATATCCTATACTTACATAACACAAACATGTACAGATAGTCCCAACTTTATAAAATGCACATTGAAGAATTTCAAACCAACAGGATTCATAAATTCAGGAATTAACTATTTGCACTGCTTATGAATTATTTGGGGAAAAAAATCTAAACTGGGCAATGAGTTAACGAACTCATTCTGGTTTATCCATTCCAAGGAAGAGATGTGACTTTAATAAGTTAAGTCATCATCCCTCAGATAGGCTGGACAATGACATTGGTGGGATTGGTTTCATTCAGTCACAGTGACCCAGCAATCTCTTTCTTCACAAAAGAAGAGATAGGAGGAGACAAACAGCACAAGAGAAGGTACCAGCACACAACCTCAGTAGCCTACATGTACAGGAAAGGAGACATCCAAAGTGCTGCAACCCCAGAACCAGACCCAAAGCAGCACTGAGAAGCATGCCATTCCTTTAATGAGTGAGTCCAGCTCCTCGTCTATATAACTGGGTCAGCAATAACAGCCTTCATGGACGCAGTGCAGACAGAATGTTAATGCTTGAAGGAAAATACTTCATAAAGTGTAAAATCACATAAAAATATCGGTCAATACTAAAGTGACAGTGAGCTAGCCCAGTGAGTTCTTCTACTCTCAATCTGAAATCCCTGGGGCTCAGTACTGCCTGCAGTTTGCAGTGAAAGACAGAGTCAGAACCCACATTGTCCCTGAGTCTTGAGTTAGACGGAAACCAAATGCAGAGTTCTCCTCAGTTATCAAGAAATTAAAATGAATTGCAAAGCCAGGGACCCAGGATACCCTTATTTTATACTGGGAAACAGAAAAGTATTAATGGAAAAATGGGATTCAATAAATACAATAGGACTGACTCTATAGCCAACTTGATCAAAAAGTCTTTCTTTAAAGTCTTTATATATTAATAATACAAATATTTGCCACTATGATGAACATTTATTAATGTTATTGGTAGCATGCAGCCAATCACCTTGCTTTTGGTTACAAAGAAAAGCAAATGGGAATAAAGATCAACATGGGTCTATTATCCACTAGAAAAGTAAAGGGTATGCCCTCTCGCTGACAAGGAGTCAAGAAAGTCATTTTTGAATACTCAATAATGACATTTTCATTTGTTTGTGCCCTGGCTCATCTTTAAAAAAAATTTTTTTAAATGGTGAATGGCCATTAATACTAAAAAAATTTAGCTTCATTTATTTTTATTACACTATTTATATACAGTCTTGTTCCACAAAGCATTTAGGAAGTGGGATTCAATTTCTTAGTAAATTTTGCCATCCTCTTACTGAAAGTCTTGTTATATACTTTATACACTGATGATAAATATATACTGCACAGTACAATGCCTAGAACACAGTAAGCAATCCATAAAATGTAGCATTATTCACATTAGGCTAAAAGCTCTATGAGGGAATGCATTAATTCTCTTGTTCTGTCTTGTACAGCACTCAATCTCAAGAAACCTAGCCCGCTATCTGGTCCACTGGTATTCAATAAATATTACTGAATAAACGATTTAAGAGTAACTCTCCGACTCTCACCTATTTTATGGCTACCAATGTCTCATTTCCTCTAATCAACATCAAGCGTCTGGAAAAACCACCAGGAGGAAAGGCATTTAAATTCCTGTTTATATTTCCTTAAACTCACTGGCAAAGAGTCCCCCCTTCTGTCCTAAAACCACAAAATCAATGCTTTGCAACAATGTATTCTTAAACAATTTTGCTTCATTTCCCCTCACACAGAGTGCACACAGTTCCTTAAAACTGCAACGTACTTTAGTTCCCTTCACCCCTGAAAAAGGGAAGGCATATTTACAAAGCCCTATCAACTCTCAAATTTCTGGTCTGTTTCCTTGATCTTTGATTTCATAGTTGGTTATCACACTGGCTGCTACGTACTTTTTTACTAATACACTTCGTGCAAATGAAAATAATGAAAATAGGTTTACTATTTAAAAAACATTTTAAATTACACATTAAAGTGTATCACACTTTAGAGAAATCACATTAAGAAACTGACACATATTTCAGTGATGTTGCATTCCTTAAAATATCTTTCAGAGAACACTTTCTGGAACAGACTTAAGATCCAGTTCTACAAGTCACACAAGAAATTGTGTCATAATTGTTTATAGTTACAACTCCTATTTGACCTAAAACTGTATGACCAACCTGGTTGTCTCAATCTTTTTCACCAGACTTGAGAACAAAGTTTCTACTTTATTTGGATTCTATTTGATTTTGCTATTTCCTAAAATCCAATCTTCTCTCAAAGGATGATGGTGAAAAACAGGCTTTATCCAGCATGAATTCCAAAAGAAGTTTAGAAAACATACTTCCTACCATACCTTAAAAGTTGCTAACTGAAAGAACAACTTCAAATTACTACTGTGAATAAGGTAACACTTATAAATCTACTGCTATTTTTCTGATTCCCAAATCAGTTACATTTGTTTATAGTCTATTGTCACATAGTATCATTTGTATTTTCCTCCACCAACATGCTATAGGTTACACTTAAGTCCCTTTGCAGACTTAAGACTAAAAAACAAACTCTGCCTCCCCGAAAAAACACCTAAGAAACTTAACAATGGTCATCTCTGACAAAAGATTCCATGGTTGGAGAATAGCAAAGGAAAGGAGACTTTTCACTAAACATCCTTTTATACTACTTGAATTTACACAATGTGAGTGTATTGCCTATTTTTTAAAAAAAATTACATCTAAGTGCCAGATATTTCTGACTTCTGTAAGCCAGAATAGTATTAAAGAAATGGGGAGTTTGGCTTAATGGCATTTTACTGTAAATATGGATCACCAGTTCTAGGGCAGTTATTCACACCAACATTAGAGAAAACTTACAGGTTCTTTTCAAGCTGATTAAACTTCCCATCGCTGAGCTGTGTGTCTGTTGTGTCACTCTATTAAAGAATAAACATCATTGGAAACAAAAACTTAATACTACAAAAATAAGTATGTCAATTTAATAGGAAAAACGGAGGTAAACTAATGAGCTATCCAAGGAGCAATAATCCAAACACGTTTGAAAATTAGGAAACGACTACACACACACATAAAGTAAAACGCTGCAAACTCCCATAAAATGTAAACTTCCATACTATAAAAATGGGAACAAGGTATCAAGCACTGCGCCATCAGCAACACAACTTTTACAGCCTAAGCTAGAAAATGCAATATGATCTGTTACTGGACACAATTGCACAATCTCAATTACTCAGAAGATTCTACCAAACAGGAAATGCATCAAGTGACTTTTTAAGAAACTGCAGGAATTGATTAACATGTCCAAAAGCCTGCCACATCTTCCAAAACAAAAAATAATTTCATAGATCCCTTTTCATATGATGCATGCACATGAATTACATAAATTAGTTTCAGGTCAAGAATGTTCAAATTACACTAAACCTAAAATACAGTGTATAAAACCTTGTAAATTAGATAAGTTAGTGAAATATTTAAGGTACGGAAATTTTGTATCAATTTAATTTCAAACACTCAGTATGAACTAAAGCTGAAAAGAGTCTCTTCCTTTCTTCGGTATGTATTCCATATTCTAATAAAAACCATCGTGTACCTCGGTCTACAATGTAGGTAGGTTCCATGCAAACCTCTCAAGGGACTTTAAAAAATAATATTCTCGAGAATTACCGCAATTAGAAAATATTTACAATACATCCCAGCATTGCTAATAATTTTTTTTTATCTTAAGGGCGTCCATCGGATCTGATGCTCCAAATAATAGAGTTGTTTTGTCAAACAATACTTAAATGAGCAGTGGTATGTGACTAATCAGTGAGGCCGCCAGTTTCTCACACTGCAGTGGTCTTGCAGGCAGTACCACTCGACCCGTTACTCTGCGAAAAGGAAATACGCTTTCAAACGAATCGGAAACACACCACTCAAGCTGGCACAGTGCTCACAGAGATAAAGTCGGTATTTTAAGCTCTTTGGGTCGCTGCTAATTGAAGTGCGAATTCAAAAAGAACGCTTCTCAAAATGAGATTCTGAAAGAGGTCTGCAAAATAGCCCGGACAGAAAGCTTCGTCGTCAGTTTTATTCAGATGACCGCAGTGTCCTGGTCCGTCCGGCTTTGCCCTCTTGCTTCTGCCGGCAGCTCCCTCGACTTGTGTGCTTAGACAGCAGACTCCAGCGCTCAGGGCAGGCGCACCTCCGGAGAGGGTCCTTATGCTCGACACCAGCAGGGAGACCCCCCCCAAAGAGAGCCCCCACCGTGCTTGCCCCCGGAGCAGAAACCCCCCGAGAAGGGATTACGCAGGGTGCGAGCCAAGGCCGAGCTCCAGCACCACCACCCACCGCCCACCGCAGACCTGCATCCTGCACGCAGCTGACCACCAACCAGAGTGTACAGGGTGAGGCGTGCAAGGGGTGTAGGACAGGGTTTGAAAGAGCAGAGCCCTTCCCCAAGGAAAATTCCTGCCGCTTGGTGCATTGCTGAGCCGTGGGAGCAGGCCTGGCTCTGGGGCATGAAGTCCACCGTTGCCCCAGGCCCTGTGACACTCACCACACGGAGCCATAGGCGCCGGAGCCCACCGGGGACAGATTCTGGTAACGCTCGGGCACCTCCCAGATTGTCTTGTTCAGCTCTTGCCGGTAGAACGTGGGCCTCTCCTGAGACATCTTACAGCGGCAGCCGCGGAACGAGGAGGTGGCCCTGAGGGGCCCCGCCTGCTCCCGCACCCACTCCCAGGAGCCCTGTCGCCCGCCCTGCAGGGCGGGGACCCTGCTCTGGCCACCCGCGCAAGTGCGGCACCGAGACCCCGCCGATTCCGGCGTGCGCGACCCCTGTCAACCGCAGCGGCTGGAAGCGCCTTAGAGGCCGGGGCGAGCTCCAAGGCTCAAGGCTGCGCCCGACACCCTCTCTCTGCACCCTCTCCCTGACCACGCCGACTTCTGGGTGCGCCGCGAGGCTACGGCTGCAGCTGCAGCGTCCGCCAAGGTTCCAGTGGTCGCTGTTCCAGAGCCAGCAAACTGGAGCCTTCCGCAGTACTATCGCGAGAACAGCTCCCGGTACTCTCCGCCAGCCGAGATTTTACCCAATATGGAACCTGCCCACGGGAGGGGGCTTGGTGAGAGTAGAGGACGGGAGGATCAGTTCTCGCGACACGAGGGCAACAGCTGGAGACCAGAGGCAGGAACTCCCAGTGCCTGTTCTTGAGAGCGCGAAGGCGTACCCGGGAAGCGGTGGATGAGCAGTTGCCAAACGCCGCGCGCGCCCCGCCGTGGTCGGCGGGGCGAATGTCTGGTTCTCTGGTGGAAAACGACTGCGACAAACTGGATGTCAGGGAAAAGGGCCAAAAGGTCTTTGAACTGCGCGTGGTAGTCAAACAGCCAAGGACCTGCTTAGGGAGCCGCCAATTTCCAAGAAATACCTGCATAAAAAAAAAAAGAAAGGTTCCGACCAGAGAGCCGTTGCATTCTCATCTGCCCAAGGACGTAAGGCTTTTTCTTCTGAATTCTCACGAAATCTGTCCCCAAAGCAAATATCAGCCCTGCATTAAGGCTGAGGTCTTCCACCCAAACTCTCCTAGTAGTTCTCCAACTTTTACGTGCAGAAAAATCACTTTAGGAGTTTAAAATGCAGATAACCGGGAGCCTCAGGGAATCTAATTGTTTAGGTCTGGGATAGGCACCAAGAATGTACGTTTTTACAACACACCTCAGTTCTGATTGAAGAGTCTCTAATCTCCCTTTGAGCATCTTTAGAACCATTACTCTAAGAGTTTGCAACTGACTTCAGCTTCCAGTGAAGAGGATTTTAAGCATTTAAGTCATGCCTCTCAGAGAAAGAAGGAAAGAACGGGGCAGAGAGTGGTTTTCTGGCATTGTTGCATAAGGTTAAGTCAGTTGACCTTTCTTAGACCTCAAATCCAGTTTATGCAAAAGAGAATTCCTGCCTTACATCCCCACCTAATAGAGTCATTTGTAGAGCTGAACGAGGTAGTAAGTGTGAATAGGCGAAGTATTATAACTCCATACATAACCCCAGCTCTCTCACCAACTTGTTCTTATGCTACAGCTTGTTACAGTAAGTAGAAGAACTGGACCCTATCTTATTCTGTCAATTGTTTTCTTTTAGAAATAACTAGTCCAAGCCAGGACACTTCTCGTCACTTCCCATGACTGTTTTCTTTTGTGTTATGCATCACTTGGAGTGCCCAGCCTTTGCCTATCTTGTAACCCAGCACTTAACTCGTTGCCTAGAACATAAAAGATACCGAATAAATTTGCTGAAAAAATTATGAACAATGACCATGATCTCAGTTTAACTGGTAGTGCAGGATCCTCAGTTCTCTTCAAGGAAAAATAAAATCCAAAACCAGGGTTAGGGGTGGGTGGAGAACTTTTTTTGGACTCAGTGTGGCTTAGCCTGGATTCTCTTTCTGCTTGAAAATGTTCCAAGCCAACTTGCAGGTTAGGGGGCTTTCTGAGATGTAGAAGAGGTTGAAGGAGGAAGTGGGAGGAAGTGGGAGTTGAAGAAATGGGAGGGATTGGGGAATCAAATTGAAGAGTGGATGGATACAAAGGAGGAAACTTGGAAGTCGGGATCCTAAGAAATTCATGTATTTTTTTCTTTTTTCTTTTTCTTTTGTTATCATTAATCTACAATTACATGAAGAACATTATGTTTACTAGGCTCTCCCCTACCCCAAGTTCCCCCACAAACCCCATTACAGTCACTGTCCATCAGCATAGTAAAATGTTGTAGAATCACTACTTGTCTTCTCTGTATTGCACAGCCCTCCCCTTTCCCCCACCCCCCACATTATACCTGCTAATCATAATACCCCCTGACTTCTTCCCCGGCCTTATCCCTCCCTGCCCTCCCATTCTCCCCAGTCTCTTTCCCTTTGGTAACTGTTAGTCCATTCTTGGGTTCTGTGATTCTACTGCTGTTTTGTTCCTTCAGTTTTTCTTTTGTTCTTATACTCCACAGATGAGTGAAATCATTTGGTATTTGTCTTTCTCCACTTGGCATTATTTCACTGAGCATAATACCCTCTAGCTCCATCTATGTTGTTGCAAATTGTAGGATTTGTTTTCTTCTTCTGGCTGAATAATATTCCATTGTGTATATGTACCACATCTTCTTTATCCATTCATCTACTGATGGACACTTAGGTTGCTTCCATATATTGGCTATTGTAAATAGTGCTG